AATGCATGCACACACACAACAAAGTTGTGGACCGGGCCAGTCTAATAATATATGAAGGAAACAGTTTGTGCCACCAGTGGTAAGAGCTTTTATAATGAGGGGAGGTAGGGAGAGGGGATAGAAAATATTGTTGTTCTTGCTTCACCAAGCAGAAAAATTAGATGTGCCATTGCGTATTGAAATCCTAATATGTGTTGTTTTAAAGTCAAGTAGGGAGGTGTAGTCTGGCAAATGCAAAAAAAAACACAATAAGGGATGTAACAGAATTTGCACATTAAACAGTTTGTAGAGAATTCAGTTTGAGAGGAAAGAGATGGCCTGGGATCATTATAGTTGCTCTAAAATAGCCCCTACTGCCACAGTAACATCTGCAGTGACACTTTGAATTGCAGGACACATGAGTAGCTAGAATCTTATTAAGGGAGCTGCTCTCAGAGCCTCTGAGGCTGGAGCAAATAACTATCTCAGCTCTGATGGAGGTTTTCCTGCAGGCCAAGGCCTGAGTCATAAGACGATAAGCTGGTGTCCTATAAGACTGAAAATTGGAAGGGAAAGAATCTCATGAACAATGACCAATTTTATACAATATCAAGGGGGTGAGGTGGGGGACTGCCAACCAATATTGTCCTTGCTAGACTAACAGCTTCAAATGCTGTTGCTACAGTGGGTCTTAGTGAAGATGAGCAATCAGAGAGGGCAGATTGTTGTGCCTTTCATCTCCAACCAGAGAGAAAGTTGGACTCTGTCTTTGCTATGACTGGACTATCTAGTGCCTGTTATCTAACCAGAGAATGTATTACTCTAGAGAGCATCAATTGAAAATCCTCTCCTGTGGCAGTTTCACTGTGGCACTGAGTGGGTCTTTTTAATTCTGCCCCAGAAATAGAAATGTGGGGGTGTTCAGGTTTGCCTTTGCCGTGTTCCCAGCACCATTCAATCTTCTTAACTACATTGGCATCACTTTGCCTCTGTACTCTTTACAGCGTGATTGATGTCTGCAGAGTTTCATAGGTGTGCAGTAGCGCCTTGGGACGACTTGTGGAAAAGACTCTTCAGACGCCAAAAGCAGAGACATCAGTGGCACTGAGGAGGAGCACACACACACACACACACACACACACACACACACACAAGCAGACATCCACATAGCCAGGCACGTCTTCATCAAATCGAGGACTATCAGTGTAAGCTGGGCCGCAGCTATTCATTTTCTAGGATCATGAGTTAATGGGGGAAATCTGTGGGTGCTCGGAGTTGTCTAATTACTCCAATCAAGTTCTTTAATCGTGGTGATTTTTCATTGCTGGGGTAGGGGTAGCCCCTCGCTCTGATCAATGTCCGCTGTCTCTCTCTGTTCAAATCACCAGGACTTTGCATGCTCTCTGCACTGGGCCTGGGCTAAATGGCTTTCATTTGGCTCCACTTGGGTAACTCTGGCCGCTGAAGCCTCCCACCTCATACACATATAGTAACACGCACACATTAATGAAAATATACAAGCACTGCTGCACAGCATTCATTTTTAATTTGAAGTCAGTGTTACCGAGCTTTGCTGAGAGTGACCACTCATGTCAGCTCCCCTTCTGCAGTGTGTTGGGGTTGAACAGATGGTGTGTTCGGCAGAAAGCAGCTACCTTTACAGCTGCAGGAAGTGCTAATTAAATGTGCACAGGAGAGAGGTGTTGTTTTACTGTGCTATTAGCTTCCGACCAGCATCCTATATGTGGCTATTTACACAGAATGACTCAGAGCTCATTATGGATTTTTCTTCTATCATGAAAGAAACATTTTTCAGTCTCACACAAACATTTTCTTTTGACTTCTTTTTGTCCACAGATTTTTATCTCTGTGGGTGAACCTGCCAACCATTCACCAGGTACCTGCAGGCATTCAGGTGCTGTGGGGGATTCTTTTGGCCCATATTTCTAAGCCCCATGACTCTTTGAGAAAACAGTGTTGGTGTGAAACATACACACTCTAGACTCATCAAAAAGAAGCTTTGTATCACTTCATGCTGTGAGGCTGTGCTGTGCTTCAGATTTGAGCAATAGACTGAGAAAGAAGCGGAGAAGAAAGAAGGGAAAGTGATTCTGAGTCAACAAAGGACTTAGCCCCACAAGTTATGACCCTGTTTCTTTTTTTTGCTTCTTAGCTGTGGTTGCTACAGAGATAGCTGCAGGTGCTGACCCCCTCACCATCATCAGCACAATGTGAGAGAGAAAGCCCTGCAATCATGGCACAAGTTTGGCCAGAATGCATTCATTTCCACAGCTAGTATCCTTTCTGAGCCTTCTCCTCTTTTTACCTATTGTACACCGTTTTAGATCCTCAACAGACAGCTGAAAGCTCTCTGCAACTGCTGTAGAGTTGTCGGGAAGCAGCTAATGTATATGGCTCCTACGTCATGCATTGGAAAAAGGCTGAATATAAAGTGCGTGTTTATGCCCTCCATTGTGCTGAGCCGACAGCCACTGGGCTGAGAGATTGCCTTACACTGGGACCTGATGGTGCTGTCACACCGGCTGGCTTCTCTTCTGTTGGGCCATCTTCCAGCCGTTACAGCTCTCCATCACACTTCTCCTAATCTCATTCTGTACAAGTGTGCTGATAGCGCCCAGCTCAAAATACATGATATGGGCTGCTATATTAAATCTGAGAAAAAAATAAATACTCCTTCAGACTAATGCCCTTTCCACACTGAAATGAGCACAGGTGCATTTACAACCCAGCAGGAAAGAATCTGGTGCGTCCTTTTTTCAGCACTGAGTGTTGGACAGCTCCCCTATACTATCCCCAATAGAGCTCATGTCAAACTCATTAAACAGGAAAAATAGCAGTGAGCTCCAACCTGACCCTGTTTCTCTTCTCTTCAATTAAATGTTATGTCAATATTCGTTTGAATGAGGTAAGAAGAACATCCACACATTCAAATCTATACAAATGTCTTCATTTTCATAGATAAGATGATCATTCAATTTGATTTCTTTAAGCTCCAGCACATCAGCCAAGCCTGATACTGGACGGGCGGCTGTGGCTCAGGAGGTAGAGCGGGTCCTTCTCTAAACAGGAGGCAGGGGTTTCAACCCCCCAAATTGCCCTTGACGGCAGCGCCAGCAGTGTGATTTATGATAGAGAAAGTGCTGCACACTTATATACTGCATGAATGTGTTTGTGACTGAGTGAACGGTATAAAACTCTTCTGTAATGAGCTTTGAGTGGTCATCAGGACTATAGAACAGTGCTATGTAAATACAGACAGAACGATTTTTTTCTTATGTTTATTGTTTACATTTTGCCCAAATGGCATCACTAAGCATGAGCAGAATCAGCTATTAGCAGCTCCTGTCTGCAGTGTACCCAAGGTTGTATTGACAACCTAGTGTCTATGTGTTCAGATGTGATTGAGAAATAACTCAGAGAAGAACTGATGCCAATGCAAATCGCAGGAGTCGCACACTGAGGGTTTTAAAGAATTGCCTCTATGTGTCACACCCTCTGCTGCAGCTGCAACATGATAATAAGTGGAGCCAACATGTAGAAAGCCTAGAATAGTGCAGACAGTTAATTTAATGCCCACGTATTTATGAGCTGTTCAGCAATCATGGCTGTTCTCTTGTGATCTAAGGTATAGTTATACTGTATACGTAAATTAAATAAAGGAGATTATTTTTTCTTCACAGCCTCTATTCAGATTATTATTATTTTTTATTGGTTTTCTCTAATCTAATGATTTTTTTTCTGCCACGAGCTGCTGTTAAAGTTGAGGAGTAAGTTGTAAAATTCACTTATTTACTTCCTTGCTCACAGTTGGACGGGGAGATTAATGCCACTCTTGTAGCCATTCTCTAAATATGAAGCTCTTGTTGTTGAACTCGATATAAACATTACAGTACATCATTAATGGTGGAGGCTTCCAGTCAGTCTGTGATGTCTGGCTCTTGGCCAGACTTTCACAGCTTTATTAATTCTTTGCCTTTCCCCTCCCTATTCACTCCTTCTCTCCGCCGTCATGTTCCCGAGTTTCTGTAGCTCATTACAGCACATTACCGCAGCCAGAGCAAAATGTGGAGATGGTGTAAGACGGTGTGAATACATCAGGAGATCAGCTCGGTGTTCGGTGCATTGAAAAGGCCATGCACTGTCACAGACTCGCATAACTATCCTCTGAGAATCTGTAGAATAAATTTGACTTCATTCCCTCTGTTGTGCTTGTTCAGACGGGCTGGTAGAATTATTACTGTGTCCCTTGCAGAGCTGTCACCGCATTTTCAGTGGCAGGCATGTGGTCAAAGGCTCTTTTATTCACAGGCTGGGAGGGATGTAGCCGGAACCTGCATGCATAAACAATTTTACCATTTAACATTTATTATGTTTTGCACATAGTGAGATTACGATGAATTACAGTATAACTGATCAGTGTGATGCTCTTTGGCTGCAGCCGCTGTTACAATACACCTGAAATGAAAAGAGAATATTTGAATACAAACCTGCACTGTGACACAGATAGTGAGTTTGTTCACATGCCACCGCAGCGGCTCGAGGTATTCTGTCTGTATCAGCTTGTTGAAAGTTCCTCACAACGCCTCTCAGTTCCTCTCTACTCAGATATATACTGTGCCGGCCTGCAGAATAAAAAATGACACGAGGCCTAAACAAGTAACCCGCCGGGGTCGCGAACAGTCGACAGTGAGTCATGAGGATATACATCATTCAGCGGAGTATTTTTTGGTCAGGAAACAGTCGGATGACAGTCTTTGACATTTGTCCAGACTCTATGTGATAGCAGGAGATGACACAAGCATCTGGCAGTTATGACAGATGACAATTAACTTCATCCGGTGCCCCTGCCACAGTCAGTACCGTTATTAAAAGCTGCTGCTTCACACGTCTTCACACAATCTCTGGTTAACACTGAAGAAAATTCCCATTGCCCTTGTCTGCTCTCTACTGATGAGCGTTTGTGTTCCTTTGCTAACGCTTTTGTCCTCATGTGTCCTCAGGTACACAGAAGAAGAGATCCGACAGAAAGTGAGCACATTCAGACAGATGCTGATGGACAAAGAGGGCGTCATCACCAGAGAAGGATCACACACACAACCAGTGTAAGTCATTTTCACTACTTTATTTACTGCTGGGAAGTTTCCCCCCCTAAGTCTGTTATGGTACTCATAATTTTATTAAATATCAGTAACACTAAATATCAACAAACCACACTGCCTCTCTCGTTCATTCACACATACAGTATGATACACTCACACACCAAATCTCTCAAATGCAATACAGTAAAAAGTACAATAATTTCTGAGTAATTGTACTGGATTTCCACCAGTGGTATTAGGATTGATACTGGAAGAGGAGAAGTTGTGATACAGTATAGATTTATTCGATATGTAATATCAATATCAATATAAAAGCTGCAAAACTAATAAAGGTGGAAATCAATGGTGAAAATGCAACAACAACAAAAAAATGAAAGATACTGACAAAAATCTGATTTGCTGTGCCGGTCCATTTTCATGCTCTAAAACTTGAGCTTTTCAGCTTTAAGTGCTGATCATTTTATTTTATTTGAATAGTGCTTTTAACAATGCTCACAGACACTTGAAAATAAACTGAGAAATCAGATAAAGCAAATCACGCATTGAAATGTAAAACACGTCGTAATCGAAATTTGTGAAATGTCCAAATCAAATCAAGCTTTGTCCTGCATTGCATAGATAATGTTGAAAACAGATTAAAACTTAACACAGAAAAATGTATTTCATCTGTACAGAGCACATTACCTGTGCAAATCCTAATAATATATTCATTTACTCCCCCAGTGTGCATGCAGTGATTCACCTGACCTCCCTCTCTTCGCCTCACATAATATATTTTCAGTGACTTTAATAAGGAACCCAAAGACCTCTGTATTGTATCTATTAATTACTAAATGTTTGATAACAGATGAATGTAATAAAACTAGACAGCAATAAATAACAAATGCAAACAGGAATTGATTTTGAAGGAGAGACTATGAGAAATGGTCTGCCAGTGTGCTAATGTCTTCAGGCAGTTGGTTCCAAAGAAATATGCACCCTAATTGCAAAGGTGCAATAAATTTTAATTTAATTCCTTGGCATTTGACTGGTAATGCCCCTCTCTGAATGCACAGGGAATTGTTTAAACCCTAGTTTATTCCAAACTCTGTTGTAAGCATGATAATTGTAAATTTGTTTTGCATTAAGCTGCAGTGTAAGTTTGAGCACGAGGGGGGAGGGAGAGTATCTCATCTGAAGCAAGCACAGATGGAATGACAGGAATGAAAATGAATGAACGTCCATATAGTCGTCATCCACACACACACACACACAGAGCCCTTGCACAGGAGGATGTGGGTGTGGTGGCCCTCCGCAGTCAGTCTATCATACTGTATGTGTGAATGAACAAGAGAGGCAATGTGGTTTGTGGCGACGTGATCCGCTGTCTGTGAACTAATGACTGGTAATGACGCGGATGCTTCCTGTCTCACAGACGGAGCTAATGATTCTCCCTCCTCTGCACCTCAGCCGGTGTCTGACATTTAACTGGTCCAAGCTGAACTGAGGAGGGAGGCTGAAGGAGGGAGCTGCGGGGGGCAGCTCCGTACGGCAGGATGAATGTAATAAACATTTGCGGCCCAGAGAAAGTGCACTACGAAGATACAGAAAGCTCTGTTTGTTTTGCTTTTCACTCAAGTTCCCTCTCAAGGGCACTTCTGACTCAGGTCAATTTAGGATTTTCAGAACTTGCCTCAAATTCTGCAACTTTGCCTCTGCAGAAAAGCCTTGATGTGGAAAATTGAAAAAGGTTGCAATTTGCAGGGTTGTTACTCCCCCCACTCCTCCACATCCTCCACACACACACACACACACACACACACTGAGACCACTCCCAGTGTCTCCATCCCTGATTGTATAAGTGAAGTGCTGAAATCCTTCGCATTATTGGAAGGATGCCTCAATAAGCCCATGGTCAGATCCCTGAAAGTGCACTATAGGGCCTTAGTCACCCTGAGGCCCCCTTATACTCATTGCCACCAATAATGAGCATATAAACAATCCCCTGTGTAATCATCAGTGGACCCCCACATCAGTTAAAGCTATGGGTAATAATCCTGGTAAAGCAAGCAAGAGCAGGTTATATTTTGAAAATATGCAACCAGTACATCACACTCCATCCCATTGGCCCCAAAACACATGAACACACACTTGCTGACAACTGCTAAAGCTGACTTTTGGTGTTCGCAGGCAGGTTGGTTGGCAACAGAGCAGTGAGTCATTTCATCTGGTCATGTTTCTGACATTCCTGCGAGGGCCACCCACAGATTTATTTATTGATCGCTATTGGGACGTAAAGAGGAAAAGGTAATGTGTCTCTATGCGAGCTTTAGTCACTGTGATAAACAGGCAGTACCGAGCTGTGGCAGGGATTTCAAATGGATGTATGAAATGCACATGAAACAATGGCTCTGATTTGTTTCTTTGCCTCAGGTCCTTTTTTAATTTTAAATTTTCCTGCCATAGGTATTTTATTCAAATGTAAAAGATGTTGAAAATGTATGTCACATGCATGTTTGTTAGATCTTTTGCTAAATGACTCTTACATAGAGATACATCCATATCATTAAAGGTGCACTATAGGCTCTAACTGACCCTCACTGCATCCACAATAAGCATTAATGTGTAAATAATTTGGGGACTCTCACATATTATAATGTGGGTCGAAAAGAGCTTCAATCACTGTGCTAAACAGCCAGCACCAAGCATGGACGTGTCATTGATTTCATATGATGTGTGATTTTTTGTGGGTTTAAATTTACCCACCAAAGCTAGGAATTTGCTAATTTATGTGACATGCATGAATGATTATTTTTTGCCCAATAAGTCTTAAAAAAATAGAGATACATCGACTTATAATAGTAAATATAATATGATGCAGATTTGCTCAAAGAGACAGAGGCTTATAATCACAACCTCAGATATGCTGCTGCTTTTCAGTGTGTTTGAGTTTGCTCAGCTGGGAGGTTTAATTCCGATGCCATCTTTTCCGCAGGGACTAGTATTATTGACGGGCTAGGCCCCTCAGCTGTGGCTTAATACTCCTACACACTAGCAATAAACAGCCAGCAGTAAGCATGGGTGTGCTAGCTCATAACTCTGTTTACCAATGTCCCAAATTGATTTCCTTCAGGATGGATTGGAGCATAGAGCGAGGGAAGGAGCGCAGTGTGTAAAGCCTCTCAGAGTTATTCAGGCTTACACACCAAGGCTGTCCAATCAGAGCAGGATCCATGGAGGAGCTGACCCTGGGCTTTACATAGTCATTCAATATCTGATGAAATGCCTGAGACCAACCTTGGTCATTATGAAACAGATTTCATTTCAATAGAAATCTGTTTGACTGTAGTGCAGATATCTAATCTGGGTGCATGCAGAACATCAAGGTTTTCCCCCAATGATCACAGAATTGATCACCTCAGCTTTAACTCCCAGCCCAGTCAATCCTTCATCTTAATATGACCATCACAAAGCAGTGACTAGATTTTCCCCCACCCTCCTACTGAGGAGTAATCAATCCCACCCCCACCTACCTCCCCCCAGAATAACAAACTATAACTCTGCAGCAATAGAAATATATCCAGGCCCTCAGAGTGGCTGTCTGAGTGGGGATACGAATGAGCTGCACCACTTTGTTCCCAAACCCAGAGGAGGGCCATGGCCACAGTCCATCACTGCCAGGTCCCAGGGACAGTGGCTGAATTAGGGATCCCCTAACCTCACAAGAGGGTCATTAAGCACAGGGACACTCGCTCATCTGCCCAACACCGACGCTGTCTAGATCACGAGCAGGCTGGACAGATGTCTCCAACATATTGGGGCACGGCATCATTTAAGCGATTAGAGACAGGATGGGGAATTAGTTAATTTATCACTAATGACTAAGCATGGGCACCACTAGATAGTTTCAGTTGTTGTTAATTACTCTTTTTGGCAGTGCACTTAATTCCCGGCCCTACAGGGACTAAATGCTAAATGGCAGCATAAGGAATTTTTTTTGTTTTTAAAGGCCAAATTCAAATGTAAATAGAATACATGATGTAAATGTAAACGTCTCACCCTCTTATGAAATAGACTGCCATAAATAAAGTATGTCAATGCCATCACTGGTATTATACAATTTAGAATATAGCACCATATCATGAATGCGTTCCAACTAAATGATAGTCTAATACAAAGCATTAGAAATGCATTAGAAAGTGCTGCATTATTAAAACACCAGGCACATCACACTCAGGTTAGGTTGATCTTATTCTGTTTGATAGATAAATATTCTAAATACATCTTCACTACAAAGATCACTGGCATTCACTGTTATGTTTAATTTTTGTTGGATGTTCACTTCTGGTGTCGATATACCGACTGCAGAAAAATCTAAACGACACAATATTCAATATGTAGCTATTGTTTTGATAAAAGTGATAAAACGAGTGCCGTCAGCTTTCAGTGTGTGCTTTATCCAAAATTCCATCTCGTCAATATTCACTCGTCGGCAGTTTCTAACTTTTTTAATTTAGAACTTAAGACTAACTTTGTACTTTCATGTGAACTGTGTCACAACCACACCGCCTACAGTTGTTTACTTCTCTCCTTAACTGATTCTGAATCTGTTGTTTTTGTTGCTCAAGTTCAAATGTACACAATGCAAGTTTATTCATTAGAGAGAGCATTGCAGTGTGTGTGTGAATGTGTGTGTGTGTGTGTGTCATGAACTCACATAAACAGCTTTCTGTGCAAAAACACCTGTCATTGTGAAGTGAGCTCATTTTGCTGCTGCTTCTCTTCCCTGCTGTGCCCAGTGGTGCTCAGCCAATTAAAGGCTCTGTTTCCTCGTGTCCTCCAAACAAACCGTCAGGACTGTTCCCTTTTCAGGTCCACTCCGCACCGTCCCTCCACATACTTTGCACCATTTATTTAGTCCATTGTCCTCTTTATCCTTATCAGTGTTCCATTATGTGTTTGATCTCTTTCCCCGAGATGCATTATCTTTCACTCTGTTATTTTTCATGTGGCTCTTCAACCTCTTCCTCTCATTATTTCATGTGCCACGTATCTGATTAAAAAAACAGTGCCACAAACCCACAGCCTGGCCTGCTGAGTTTTATAACAACAATGAAACCTGCGAAGGTCAGAGAGATGCGACTGCATGAGAATTAAAAATAAGTGATTTTTTTTTTTTAAGCCAACAAGGTCAGATTTGGATCAGAGGAGGCCACATAGGAGAGAAGGGGGCGGTGGGGCAGTGAGGATTAGGTAGGACGCGGCTGCCATCTGTCTGTATATACAATACACTATGTGTGGCAAACAAGCGAGAAGACATGAGTCCCACAATATGAGCTGTGAGACTGCGAGAAATGATGATACTGTCACTCACAGCTGTGGTGAGGAAAGATTTCAAATCGAAGTAATGAAGAAGTTTAGTGCACAAGTGATGAATAAAGAAACTGGGTCAGTCTCATATCTTAAATGAATGTGTTTATTCTGGGCCTGGAAAACAGACTCATCACACACTCATGCACATCAGAAACAGCACAGAATCTGCTGCTTTACCACCCCCTCCCCCCATCAGCCTCTGTGACCATCCTGCAACCTTAGATCTAATAAGCATATTACAATGACAATGACTCACGGCAGTCTTCTCAAATGGATAGTCTGAAATCAAAGTCTACATTTGCTCTGATCAGTTTTTAGAAAAAGACATTTTGAATAGTGCTTCATAAAATAACAAATATATTACTTTGTAAGTTTCATTCAAATTTCTGTAGCTCCAGCAAGTGAACTTTTGAAATTGTTTTCTTTGAAATGTTGCAACAACTATTGGATGAATAAGTATAAAGTTCAGTGGAGATATTTATGTCCCCCTCACAGTAATTGAACTTTGAACATATCCAATGATGCGTGTCCTTGCTCAAAGCAATATAGCTACCAGTAAACAAGGAAAGCCATAAATGTGCAGCCTAATGAATCAGGAATTGTTCATGCTGTTGGACAGGTAATTGGCCCCTCTGTGTAAATTGTGGCCCCTTTATGGCCCCTGGCATCTGCCACTTACTCAGCCATATTTTGTATGTAGTTCTGATTATCAAATCTTAGCATATCTTAACATTATAATACATTTATGTATTTTTACTCCTCTTGTATAACTCACATAATCTTCGCCTCCATCACTCTCAACTCTTAAGTCTTGTCTTTTCAGGGTCAACCACCTGCACTATCAGCCTGACGAGTATGAGGAGGACCCTGAGTTGGCCGGCTATGAAGACGGAGACAATGACCGTGATTGCCACAGTGACAGCAGGTAAAGCACACGTTTAAACACACGCTTGATGTGTCCACCAGCTCTCACCCGAGAAGCGACGAAATTAATCAGCCGACTATAATCTCCCTCAAATGGATTCTGGGTGATGTCTTTGATCATATCCATAACCATAAAACTGAAATCAGGACAGAATAAATGCTCTTCAGATCTACTAGCAAGGCTCCTGCCCGCACATGGATAAAGAGCTGTTGTTATTTATGTCTGAATGCAGATAGTCATTAAATCGTGCTTTCTCGGTGTGCCACTTCACAGACAAGTGTAATTTCCTCCAAGCGATTTCCTGTTTCCATTGCGAGGCATATTGCATGAATATTGTGTGTTGTAGGAGGGGATGAAGAAATGTACCCTTGTTTTAGCCTCAGCAGCAAATAACTATAATCATAACTGTAATCAATAACCACATCACAACAATTATTTATAATTTCAATCACTCACTCTTCCTCTCACTCTGTATTTCTGGCCAATTCAGAGTGAAGAGGAAATCAAGCAGCTCTCCATCCCCTCGTCCAAAGAAGAGGAAGAAGAAGAAATCTGGCCGCAGAAGGAGCAGGTGAGTGGAAAAAGCTTTTGCTGATGTTAGTTAAATGTTTGCCCCTTTTTCTTTTTATGTGCCCCATTGGTATAATAGTTAGAAAGTGATTTTGTGAGGTGGTTAGTTCAAATTATTTTGGTGTGAATATTGCACATTACACATCATCAGATACTGCAGTTGTGGTGATGGGGGGGGGGGGGAAATCTGTAGTGAGTGATAAGGAAAGCATAGTGTTATCTTCCATCTTCTTTTGACAAGGTCAGTAAAATTAGATGGAGTGAGAGTGAAAGAGAGAGGAGTACATCAACAGTGAGCAGAAGACAATAAACGGAGGAGGAAGGCAGAGGGGTGAATAGAGCCAGGGACAAGGGGAAAATTAGTCGTGCTTCTGTGGGAAGGGATGACACTTTCCCTAACGATGATCCCCTCAGAGGTGTAGTGTGATGACTGATAAGTGAGCAGCCGGAATTTAGCAGCAATCTGAGGCTCATTCTGTAAAAGTGGCACATGAGAAGAAATCTACCCTCTCTCCCTCAATAGGTTTGGCAGCTCCTCACCCACGCGCAGAGAGAAGAAGAAAAAGAGTGGGAAGAAACACAAGCGAGACAGGTGAGTGCGTGTGTCGCTCATCATCACAAGGGTATGTCAACAGTTGCCCTCACAGTGACGGGTGTTCAGGCCCGTTACACGTGTGACATGTCACTTATCATAAACCTGAAGTAAATAGTGCCATGTACGTTGCCATATTCTTATATTATTTATTAAAACTTTATATTGGCTACATTCTTCACTACATTCTTCTCCTGTATTTGGGTTTGTTTGCCTCTTTGGTGCAATAATTCAATTGGAGAAAAAGAAAGGGAATAAGTAAATGAAGGAAGTGAAGAATTTCAGCATGAATAAAGGAAATACAGGATAAGTAAAGGAAGAGAAAAATGTTTTAAGGGAGAAATAAATAGAAGAAGGAAAGACAGAAAACTAAAGAAAAGAAAGGGAGGAATTTGCAAAGGAATAAAGTGAAGAATGATATCACACAAGAAAGAAATATAGGAAGAAGAAAAAGAAGAAAGACTAAAATGTAAGTACGAATAAATACGAAATTCAAAGGATAAGGGAATAAAAGGAAGGGAAGAAAGATATGGAGAAAAAGAGGCAGGCAGAAAATTAAAGGGAGACAATGGAAGCAAGGAAGCAGGGAATAGGGAGTTACAAAGACAATAAGAAGAGAGATAAAAGGGAAGAGGAGATAGGAAAAGAAAGAGAACTCATCAGCAGTTACCTGCGCGATGCCCTGGGATATCATAACGACAATAAGCAATTGTAGTTTTCCGTCCTCCTCGTTTCTCCCGCTCTCCACCTGACTCGGGGGGAGTGGGGCTCAAACGTGTTGCTCTAATAACCCAGCCTGTATGGGGGCACACAACACAAGAAAAATGAGCCTCTCACCAAATTGCTGAGCATCACTGCGCTGCCCTGCTCTTGTTTCCCACCTCTCATCCATCCACGCACATCCTCAGCCCCCTCACCCCCACAGCCCACTGCCAGCCTCGCACCAAAGCTGCTCTGCATTGCAGGTACTGTTTGTTTAGATGAATAATGCATAGATGAGGCAGAGGGGGGCACGCAGGGTTCTTACCCCGGAGACAGACTCTTCTGATGTTCCTTTTTAAGGTGGACTTTGGGAAGGGACAATACACTGCTTACATTCATGCTTCTTATTGTTTGTAGAATAATAGCTCTTTGAAATAATAGCTCCAGTTTGGGCTTAACAATGAGGTGCGTATTTGCCTCGCATGCAGTATCCATGTCCTTGTACCAGAAGAATCGGTCCGTGTGAGGGGGCGAGAGATGAGAAGAATAATGAGCGCTCCAAAATATCACCTCTTGCACAGTTGTCCCCCTATGATTCCCTTCAGGGGGGAAACATGGGCTGCCACCGGGGCCACAGCTCCGAGTCACACATCAGCCACATACATTACCATGACAGCTTTATTGCTCCCCTCGCAGTGAATCAGCCCGTCTTGGTTGCCGCCACTCCCTCCCACTCCACACTGCACTCTGTAGGTGTGCTACACAGCAGGGGAGATGTAGGGCCCTTCAGGAAAATAGCAACGACTCTCGCAGACCAGTCCGACTAATCACCATGGAAACTGCAACAAGGGTGAAAGTGATACGGAGGTGACGTGTCAGTCACTGAGGATGGAGGAATGGCCGGCGTCCCCACCATTATGCTTCACGTGCTGCGAGAGGGAAACTCGAAGTTTATTATTCCTGCTTTGTCGCAGGATCTCACAGCCAGAATTTTTTTTAATAAAAAAATAAATGTGACGTTCAGCACTTGTGGAAACTGAAAACCTGCTGTGAGAGCTCCCTGGAGACATCGCTGGAGATATCTATAGATGCATGCATGTGATTCAGATTGATTTGCAAGGAGGTAGCACATCATTAAAAGTGTAGAAATATATGCTGAAATATTCCATTGATTAGTTGGCACATAATAATACATGATCCCATCATGTTATATGATAAAACCTTTTTGACGGTTTTGTGTCAGAGACATTTGCAGTGCACTTTCTGTTCATGTTGTGATAGAAACGAATATTTCAAAACCTATCGTAAGAAACACAAACAAATGCACAGGAGTTCCGCTCCAGCAGCTTTATGTCTCTCTATTCTTCAGGGTGAATTTGAAAATATGACAATAAATTATGGTGTTAAAAAAGGAAGTATAAAAAGGTGATGCACAGATTGATGACAGCACACCTCTCAGCCTCGAGGCTTTGTTTAAAATACAACCTTGGATGTCCTAGAAACTATTTAAAGAAGGAGGGTTTTCTAAGGACCATCACCAAATGAATGTACCTTTTCTCAGGAAGAGATGAACCTGTGAACATTCAGACTCTTTATACTTGCTTCTTGAATCAGAACATATTTGATTGAATGTTATGTGATAGCTGTAGCTGTCATGATACCATCATTATAATGACTGTGGTGTTTTTGTTTGCGTAGATCTGCATCTGGCTCCAGGAACAAGCGGAGATACAGGTGTGTATGAAAGATGAAAACAGCACTGTTAACAGGTGTGTGTGTGTGTGTGTGTGTGTGTGTGTGTGTGTGTGTGTGTGTGTGTGTGTGTATGTCATTGTAATTTCTGCGTATTGAGCGCTGTTTGTTGGCCATATGGGCAAGAACAGTGGGTTGTGGATTTTCCATTGCTTTATGTACACAGCTTCATTATCTTACATATGACATTCGTTTCAGATCGGGCAGCCCAAAGAACAAACACAAAGACAAGAATAAACAGAAAAAGAGGTGAGACACACATCGAATCCCTCTAATTTACATGTTAATGTTGAGCCGGCAAGAAAAACCAACAGTATTTCTGCATTATTCAGTTGGACAAAGCCTCACATTCATTCTCTGTAAAATGTGATGCTCTGTGCAAACGCACTGTGCCATGTGTAAGAATAATTTAAGCACAGTTTGTCCTCTGCACACAGTAAAACAAACAGAGAACAGGCATCTCAGACTTCGACAATGGCTACAATAGGAATCACATCCAGTCTCATAAATTTATATTGGTATTTTACAGTCATTATCTCAGGCTCAGACTCACAGAGAATGTTAACAAGTCTAAAGCACAGAGAGCATCTCCTCAGCATTATGTCTGAGTTCAACACCGTTACAATGCAAGACATTGCACCCTGTCTTAATTAGAATATATATTGAAAGTGTGTGGCAGTGCATGAACTGTTTTACATAACGGTAGATTGACTACTGTGGCATTTGTGTTTCCCTGTGATATATGCATACATACATACACATGACTGTGTACGTATATGTATGCATGTGTGTGTGTGTGTGTGTGTGTGTGTGTGGGTGTGGTGTGTTTGTCCGTTTGTTGTCATCCATCAGGTCCCCCGGTGAGACCCCCGGTAGGAGTTCACAGCGTCAAGGCAGCTGCTGCAGCTCCCGTAGCGCCTCCCTGTCCTCCACTCGCAGCACCTCCAAATCTCCCTCCAGGTACACCGCTCAACACACACGCATTCACACATGCATTTCACTTTTTCACACTCTGATATTGCTGTGCTGACTGTCGTGCGGTTGCCGTGGTGACTGTCAGTCTCGCTCTCTCTCACATTTACTCTCAGGGGACAGATTAGGATACAAATGGGGCTCCTCAGCAGGTCTCAAAAGGATGTGATGTCTCAATCTGCACGCAGAGAATGATAAAACAAAAGACACCAAATCAAAAATGTTCTGATTAAAATCTGGTGGCAATAAGTCAAGGTCACTGTGACCTCACAAGAAACTTTTACTCTCTTGGCATTTTGTACAGTCTCTCTTAAAATCATGTTTTAGAAGGTGTGTCCTCTGTTCCTAAGTCTGCAGTCGACTACTCTCAAACTGCTTAAGAGACCTCTGCATCTCTCTTCAATCAGAGAATTTCTGAGTCGAAAGAAAAATATTAAATAGTATTACAGGAGATTATCTGAAGAAACTGTTCGAGAGAATGGAAATGTCAGAGTATATTCTCCTGTCAGAGAAGAATCCTCTGCTGCCTTCTTCAGTCATGTAAAATAAATGAAATAAAACAAAATAAAGAAGTGATATAAAAACATTGATTAACTTTAACATGCAGTTTTACATAACAGTAAATGGAAAATCCAGATTCAAAGCACAGGTCATCTTAAAAACCAACACTGCGTCACAGTGTCGTCCCTCACGATGTTTGATGCTTGTGTTTTACCTCTTGTGTCGCTGTCTGGCTCTGCTCTTCCAGACTGAACTCCAAGCACAAGACAGACGGACCAAAGACATCTGGCACCGCGCTGTCCCCGGGCCCCAACAGTCCCGCCACGTGGCACAACGGGGACCACACCCAGCGAAGCCGCAACGGCAAGGCCAGCAGACTCAACCACGTCGAGGGCGAGAAAGGGCACGATGTATGTAATCTCCTCTATTCTGCTCCCACAACCCCACTCTCCCCCCACCCAACTCCAACGGTATCTACCCCAGTCTTTACAAATAAATTTGATCTTCCTCTTTTGTGTTGGTTGACATGAACTCTCATCTTCTTCGATACTGAAAGATTTCTTTTTTATTCTTTCTTCAGTTATTCTGAGGAGAGTTTTTTAGTAATAATATTATTATTGACATGTTAAAGACACTTGTGTCCTGTGTAAAACTTGCCGCTCCTGCTGCTTTGTTTCTGGCTCTCTTTGACTCCTCTGCCATCTTGTTTTTTGTTTCCTCTCGTTGTTTATCGGTAACAGAGCGAGGGAGCAAAGACATCCGAGGTTCTAGTATTTCTGTTCAGCACACACGCTCCGACTCAGTGCACAGCATTAGCATACCACACCTTGGATGGAAGTATGAGCCACACTGGCACACAGAGTTTCCAAATGAATGAGCAAAACAATTATTGTTTCTCACAAGTGGGTACGTGCTGCAGCATAACACAAATAAAAACAAGTCGAGCTAACAGCAGGTATGACAGCTTCAGAACTCATGAGAAGAAATATTACAGAAAATGTTTCTATCAGGAAAAAAATCTGCAGACAAAGTTCCTCCTTGAACTGACTCGTCAAAATATTGGCTGTGAAAAGTCTTGATCCAAGTCTGACAAAATGAACTGGGACCAAATAAGATTATGAACAAGGTGCAGTTCCCCGATACCATTTCTCAGCTGTTTCCTCTGGGGTGTATGGGAGATTTAAAAAGCCTGAATGAAAACGTATTAATCGAGAAATAAAGTGAAATACATTATAAAACAGCACAATTATATGTTAGAGGTAAAATTATTTAGTTTTTAGTTTGAAATAACTGACTGAATTGTTTTTTATACATTCAAATCACAGTGAAATAGAAGTCTTCAGGTGGGTAACTTTAGTCATAAGGGGAATTTAAATCAAATTCTTCGGATGTGATTGGACTGGGCAAAAGTGGGTGTGGCTTCATAAATACAGTGCAATACAGAGCTGTAGAGATAAAGTGCCTGGAAGAAGAAGAATAGTGCCATGAGAGGTGTCACCCACATTGTCAGATCAGGAAGAGGGTAAAAGGGAAACTGTAAAGATAAACCTCATCACTTAGTGATGCAAATTTCAGAAATGTTTTAATATTATAGTATTTTGCTATAAAAAATGCTTATAATTGACACATATTTAACTTTTGTCAGTTTTATTTTGTAGAATGTACCATGAGGTAAAGGAATAATCAACATAGGGACAGAGGTGTGTTTGATTTCATTGTGCAGACACATCTTAAATGAGATGAATCAGAACGAAACACAAAGCACCATCTTTAGTTTTCATTAGACTCATAACACTGGAAATGGCTTCGAAGCGGAACCAAGGGTGGAGTTAACATTAAAACTGCTTCCTGTGGGCTGGCCTACAGCAGTGATACTCCTACTGACTGTACATTTAACTGCTTACACTCAATTAAAACTGAACTTAGGTCAACTAACTCAGTTTGTATCAAAGTTTATTGTATTTCACTTTATTTCTTGACCAGATTTTGTATTTTTGGCATTTTAACACTTCCATATATTGTGGCCGAATGGACCCTGACTTCAGAATTGGCCACAGCTCTGTTCAAAGCAAAAGGTGTCCTTGTGAAACGATCTCCTCCTGATGAATAAGCATCTCAATGGGCTGCGACCATTACTCTCCCTCCAAAGAGCTTATGTCTGCTGTTTTCTGATCCAGCTTGCATGTGTCTCTGAGGTCTCATCTGATCTCTTTTCTCTGTCATTACTATTGCTTTTTTTTCTCCTTATCAATTTAAGTGGTATTTACCCATGAATAAATCCCCAAATCTTTCTGTCTCGTTTACACAAAAAGCACTCAAATGCTTTGGAACTGGACCAAGTAGGTTAACTGGGTACGTGTATTAGTTTCTTTTTGTCAATACAGTTGTCTTTCTTCTCAAGCACACGCTCTGCTCAGTGATAGATCCTCTTCTCCTCCAGGCGTTCAGCAGCTCCTGCCAAAGCACCAGGGGTCAAACACATGCTCCTCTCTACCGCTTGACTTTACCATGTCGACGTGCATGTTGCCCTCAGGTGGCGGTGTATCTTCTGTCCCTGACGTTTCCGTTCCTACTCTGTCTGTTCAGGCCAGTGGAGAATGGCAAGGGATGTCTGTTAGATCATGCTCTTTCTAGCTGTGCAGACGGGATGTAGTGAAAGAGGAGCGTTTAATTGGCTCACATTTTTTGCTAAGCAGCATCTTTGGAGCGTAAGGTGATGCTGCCACGCTCTTATTAATCTCCACCAAAGGCTAAAATATGTCATAATAATCCTCAAAGTGAAACCTTTGCACAGGAGGATGGTTCTGTGTGGCAGATCCTGGATGTAACTGAAGTCTGATTTTACTGCAGCAGTTGTGTGGTTTCTGTACAGCAGCTCTGGTTCTCTATCTATCATCTCAGTTTGTGTACCTGTAGTCGTCCCCTAGTCCTGTGTGAGACTGTCCCACCCACTGCAGGGGGAGACAGTCCTGGATGCTTCCCATAGAGAAGCGTTGGGAAGCAGGTTTGCTCTTAATCAGAGGTGGGAAACTGGAGCACATGTGCCTAACTAAGCAGTTTGGAAGTGGAAGTGAAAAGTCAGACATAATATAAAGAGTGGAGGTGGAATAATTATTATAATATGTAGATAATGAGACATTCATTCCAGTTTTTGTTCATTTTTACTTTTGCACCCAGCTGTTCACATGAATAAAGCCAGAAATCGTTGTGTGAAGAATTCAAACCTTTCCTACTCTCTCGCCTCTTCACGGCCGGCCAATCACAGTGTGACGTGCATGTCCGATTGAACATTTTGAAAGTCAAAGAATATGTTGGACACATCTGCCACTATACAGCATTGGAAAGGTGCTGGGGCGATTCCGAAGCTGTTCAACCATCCAACGAGTAGTTCTGATGCAGTGCCTTTAGTCACTGTCTTTGTAGCCTTCTCTCTTCAAAAAGTAAAACATGGCGACACACTTCTAACCAATCTTACCTGTGTGTAGTAAGTTTGTTTCAGGTGTGGAACTAGCTCCTTGTAACTCTTAGTGGCCAGTGGGCAAGGGAAAATACAAGTTCAAAGTACTACAGTGTTTTCTTCCAACGCAATGTTTTTTCTTTTCTACGAAGTTGAGAGCGGTTAGAACCAAGTTCTCTGCAGAAAAGCAACCTAAAGCTACAAAGAGCTAGTTTCAGAATTGTTTGGGGAAAAAGTGATAGAAGCACAAATAATGCTAAGGAAAGTTATAAATGAAATAGACAAAAGAATAAGATATTTTAAAAAGAAATGTGAAAAACAACTCACTAAAGATAATAAATAAGAAATACAAAATACAAAATAAACACAAGGAACATTAGAATGACATAGATGACATGATCTCATCAGGGATGAGCTCTAAGTGTCGGGTGTGGTGAATACATGTGTGCTTAACTTCCCCATCTCTGATAAAGAGCAGTGCACTGACTCTTTCCTGAAGGTTTGTCTCTGGTAATCATCTACGACCTGTGTCCCCTGCAGTTGTCGGGACAGTCCCACATGGGGCTGGTCATCCTCTTGCTCTTCATTTCAGGACATATTCAAACACTTGCAACACGAGTACACGGATTTTTAAAATAACTACAGGACAACTCACACATTTATGAACATGAATGTTATTTCAAAGGGACCCGAGCCATTTTGAAAGTAAACTCTCAGCTCACCTGTGTTTATCCTGACGAGTATTTTAAAAAAAAAGAAAAAAAGAAGAAGTTTGCTTGGAAGAAAGTTGTGTTTGAAAAGTTCAGAACAGAGACGTGCTGCTGCTGAAGAAGACCCAGGCCAAAATGAGACTGGGGTCCCTTTCAAATGAGTTTACTTTCTTTAGTTGTCCGTCTTAGCGGTGACTGCCCCACCCCCTTCCTCAAACACTCTTCTCCCCCCCCCCCCGTCTCTTCCTCTCCTACCTGTTCATCTGTGTCCTGTGTGACTCACGTCTCACTCTCGTTGTCCTGGTATTATTTTTCTTCCCCACATGTCTTACATAATCTGCCAGCTCTGCATGCCCTCCCTCCTTCCCTCCCTCCCTCCTTCTTTCTCCTCCCTCCTTTCAGTGACTGTTCTCAACATGGATGTCCACCAATATGACAATTAACTCTACCCGCTTATCCACCCACCCCCATCATCCCCAACCTGTTTGGATACAAATATGGCTGCATTTGTACAAGCGAAAAAGACAAAGCAAATCATGTAGTTTCTAGATTCATCCTTTGTTTCTGATTTAACTTTTAATTTTCAATTCCATGTGGATTTTTTCCCCCTCCTCCTCCTCCTCCCCCCCACCCCTCTATTTTCTCTATACTTTTTTGGTTTGTTTAGTTCTCCTTTAGTCTCTGGACTAAATATGTAGCTTTGATACTAAAAGAGGTCATTGTCTTTTTCCCATTTCGCTGCGGAGAACATTCCTTTCTCCTTTTTTCCTTTTTTCTTTCTTTCCTTTTTTTTGTTGATATTGCATACGTGTCACTGATTGAAATGGAAGGTAGGTAATGCTTTGCCTACGCACGTGATCTATATGCAGATGAGAATGTGACAAGCACCCTAGCCTGAGTGACGTCAATGTTTCTCTCTCTCTCTCTCTTTCTCTCTCTCTTTCTGTTGTTTACCAATGGTCTTTAACTTAATTGATTTGACTTCATCAATTATAATTTGACTCTTAAAAGAATTGGATTACATAGAGCTCTGGTTTTTCTCTTTCCTCCTTAACTTCATTCTGAAGTCCAATATCCCACTCTATCTTCCAGGTCCATTTTTTTGTTTTCTTTCTGTTTTTGGTAGAATGCATTCCTGTTTGTCCAGCATCTCTCTGTTTGTTGGTGAATTAGTACATCCGTCCTATGATTTCCACCATATTGATTTCCACGACTGTCTCTAACAACTGTCAAAAGCACCAGTGGTTGTGTGTTTTCTAATTGTGCCACTTAGTTGTCTTCTCACTAGTGGAGGGCGGCTCTTCTCTCTGCGAGCATCAGGCCGTGCTTTTGTTGCATTCTTAGATCACAAAGCAGGGGAGACCTCACATTACTACGTATGTGGAGGAGCCAGCTGTATACGGTTTCATATAAATGTCCTGTTGGAGATTTATGCCATTTCAGACCTGCTTGGAATGAGCAGTGTATAACTGTGCATCATGTCTGAGTGCTTAAAGACCAAAACTTATCCAAGTTCTATTTTTGTTGAAGGCTTAAATTAAGGTTTTAAATATATAATATCCAACTCCTGCTGTACCATACACAGTTTAAGTGATAAGGCTGGCATTACTCTGTTTTTCATACTATTATCCAATGTCTTACAAAGATCTGAACCAACAACGTGTTAGTCTATCACTATTTTATTGCTTCTCTCAGTGGCTTATCAAGGATTTTCTAAATCAGGGGCCATAAAGGGGCCACAGTTTACACAGAGAGGCCAATTATATTTCCAACATTTAAGAACAAATCCTGATTGAGTAAGGTGCACATTTAAGTCAGTCCTTGTTTGCATTTAGCTCTATAGCTTTGAGCAAAGCTGCACATCATTGAATATATTTTAAGTACTTTGCTCAAGCACAATGTATACTGTGTAAGTGACTAATTATATTTGAGACTACTGACAGGACAGGGGCAATTCAAAGGCCAATCAGATTTCAGTTGGGGCCAATGCCCCCTGGATCCACCCCTGTATCTGCCCCTGGCTGTCTTACTCTTTCTATGGCACTCAGCCTCAAATCTTGAGTTCCTACTAAATGCTAATGTCAGAATGCTAACATGCTCACAATGACAATGCAAGTATAATGTTTACCATGTTTTCCAGCATGGTTTGCCAATTAGCATTAGACAGAGTACAACAGGGGCTGATGGGAATGTTATTTACTTTCTCTGGCATTTGATTATGAACCAAAGTATTGGACAAATTAAAATTATGGCCAGATGATGGCGCTATGTTGAAAATTGTCATGAGTGACATATTTGGATTGAATATCATGGCAATTTATAAACTGACAGTCAAGACATTTTATCAAAATCAAAAAAGTTGGAGTTTAAGGACGTCAAAAAGATTTGTCTGAACAAAATTGGTTGACTAACAGGTCGATGTTATCACTCCTGAGATCTCCTAGCAGCGGTAGATACGACAAACCAGTGTCTTAAAGCAGCTGGATGCTGTAATTTTAGCAGAATTCACTACACATTTGTTGAGGAGTAATAATGAGATGATAGACATTTGGGGCTCTAGTGAGTATTCATCGCACAATATATGAATCTTTGTTGCCTCAAAAATAATAATACAGTGTGTGTTCATATAAGAACATGTCACCCAGTGCAACAAAGTGGCTCAATGGTGTTTTTTTAAACAACAATGAAGCTCTATGACATGATATGATCTATTCATTGTTGATTTTGGTCTTTCAAGGAATTAGCTGACAATACTGTAAAATAAAAAACAGAATATTGCCAATCTTTTCCTACAGTACAGTGGTTTTGAGTTAACTACTTTAAGTAGTTTTAAGTTGATTAAGCATTTTTTCATCCAAAGGATCCAATCACATTCTCCTTGTCAGTTCAATGTAGTAAAACTTCTTACATTAGTCAACCCCCCTCTGACAAAAATATAATTTAAAAAAATATTAAAATATAATTTGATGATGGCCATAAACTGTGGGTGAACCAAAGTGAGTCTCAGCGATAACCGAACACTGTGTTGTTATGTAGTGTCAACTCCCTGGAACTACATCAGTGGAAGCCTTTGCTATTGTTATAACTGTCTTGTATCCAGGAGTAAGAGCTCAGGTAGTTATCCTGCAAACGGCTCAGGCAGAACAAAGTAACACCTTCCCTGTGGTAGACACTACGGAGAGAAAAAAGGTAAAGAAAGTACCTTTAACTCTCGCCAGCCTTTTGCTCTGTGATGTTCAGGAAGGTGACTGCGCTTGGAGGATTCACTCTCTGTGTGAGGGACTCCCTGCACATTGTGGTTCTCCTCTTTGCTTTTGAGTTCTTTTCCATTGATTTCCATGCATTGTCTCATGAGTCACTGGCAGGGAAGGGTTTTGTGTCTTTTTCTCTTGCATTTTGTGAATCTAATGATGCACTTATGTTGCCCCACTTTTCCCTTTTCTTCATACCTTACCTACTAAAGGAGGGAATACCACTTTATTGGTAAGTGGATGTTAACCAGAAGGGAGTTAATCAAGAGTAACCATTAAAAAAAAGTAAAACAAAGAAAATGGGTCGCTGTTCACATCTCAGCAATTGTCTTCAGGAAAAAAAAAATCCAGAAAGAGAAAATTGAGTAGCTGACGATTTGTTTTCTGATTCAATTGATTCAATAATTGTGATCTTTATTTTGTTCCTTCCATTTCTGTGATGTTCTGTCAAGTTGTCTTCTCTTTCTGTTTTGTTTAATTTCTTTAACCATAACTACAATAACTGGAGAAGTCCTCTTTTTCTACTCTACACAATCTGTAGCTCTGTACTCTCTGCCTCTGCTCTTAAACTTATTTGGGTCACAGTTTTGTTTTTATTTTTCTCCCTCTCTTCCTCCTCTTCCTAGTTTTTTTGTTTGTTTTTGCGATTATGATTTCTTCAACTCATTATGGTTTTGCATGCCAAGTATTGCATGCGCTGCACCATAGAGGACTATCTATAAGCCATATGGAGAAAACCTAGATCTTTTTCTTTTAGATGTTTACCTTCTTTTGGCACCGTAGCACTCAATCACCCTCCTGAAAACACTCTAATCCTCTTTTTGTCCTTTTTCTTTTTTTTTTCTTTTCCTTTTCTTCTTTTGTTGGTCATCATTTCTCTACAGAAACTCCATCTTCTGACTGCGAGCTCTGCAAGCATCCAGTCCACGCTGCTTAGAGAGCACAAGCTCCACAGCGCCCCCAGCAGAGGCCAAGCGGGACCGATGTGCGCGGCAGGAGAAGCCGGGTGTGTGGACGGCAGGACCTCAGCTGTGGGGAGCTCCGTTACCCAGACACCGGGGAGGAGAGGGCAGAGAGGCCAGAACAAGAGCTCCCACTCCCCTGCTCACAGCAGCGACTCAGCCCACTCCCAGCACAACCACACTCACCGAGGGAGGAACTCTCGTCACCAAAGAAAGTGAGTCTTCATGAAACCTTCACTTTCAGGCTCTCATCACATCATAGCTCTGAGAGAGAAACATTTGACATTTCCTTCCAATTACTTTAGGACAAAAGGCGGCCACTCTTCCAAGCGTCACCACCGCTCCAGTCGGGGCCAGGCGCACCACCGCAGCGTGTCAGCATCTCCAGGACGACACTCACACACGTCAGGCAGGAAGAAAGAGGAGACTCGGAGCAAAGCCAACCTGCGACAGCGCAGCAGCTCCTGGAGCAGTGGGCGTTCGTCCTCGCACTCTGCATCCAGAGACAGAGGCCCCAGCAAGGCCAAGTCCCCGCACAACAGACAGAACAACTCCAGGTAAAACGCAGCTCACTCCCTCTCACCTTTCGGTCAACTTATAGGTTTGTTTTGCTGTCATGTGTTGTTGCCGTGGTCCTGATGGTGTTCTGTGTTTCGAGCAGAGAGAGGGACAGTCCTAACCACTCCGACACTGGCAGCCGAGCACGCCGCCGCTCACGCAGCTACTCACCCATTCGCAAAAGAAGAAGAGATTCCCCCAGCTTCATGGAGGCTCGCAGGATCACCAGGTACCACATGTCCATGTATTACTGTCCAGAATCATAAATACACCTCCTGCTTTCTTCTCATTTTTAAGATTCCCATTTGGACAAACATCTATTCACAGTTCACCTCCTCCAGCAGTTTAACAGCGGGTCCAATGAGACAGTTTGTCTTCAGCTCTTTATATTATCAGTACTAAAGTTTGAAGTACTCTAATACATCACACACTGTAGTTAAAACATTTCTCATCATTCTACAGCACTGCTCTCATGTTGGGGTACATGTCGTTCTTTTATTGCTCTACATTACAACAAGCCAAAAGGAATGAAATGAGCAAAAGTGTTCCTGCTCTATCTCTCCAATGAAAACGTCAAGAAGCTTTGATGAGTTTGTAGATGGACTTTGTCACTTTCAGACAAACCTGTGGATATTTTGCTCTATTTCCAGTCTTTATGCTAAGCTAAAACGTAGCTTCAATATTCATTCTGCAATTGCATAGATATGAATTAATATAATTAATATAATAATAACTATAACAGCTTTACATTTGGAATCATAAAAAGCCTTATTACATGATAAAAGCGAGACAATACAACAAGACTATAGGTCTTTTATCACTTTTATTATTATTATTACTATTTAATAATTACTATTAACATTATCATATATACTTCTTGCTGTTTTTTGACCATTTGTTTTCTGTTGTACTGCAATTTGTACTTTCCATTAAAAAATCTCTATGAACTAAATATTAATATATAAAATAAATATGATTAAGTTATTACTAAAGCAATAAAAAGCTTCAATACATGACACAAAAAAATCAGGGCATAACTTAGCCATATAAACTAAGTCTGAACTAAACTGAGGCAATATTTGTGTTTGTTTCTTCCTCTGCTGGTGAAAACATGTTTGATATTTTCCGCACAAAAGCTTTTCGAGGTTTGTTTCACTCAACATTTAGTTATTTAAATATATGAAGCAAACTCCTGCATCGCTGTGAAAAGTTTTCCATGTCATCTCTTGTACTTCTCGACATACATGTGGAAATAGACGTGGGTGAAACATGTGTACCTTGTCATCTTTCACTCCAGTCCTTAAGGTTCCGACGCCAGGACAACGGGATGCTGCTGAACGAGCTGCTGCAGGCTAGTTACCCTGGTAACAGTTGCCGTGCAGCAGGACCCCTCTATTCTGACTCCTGAAGCACAGCTGAAGAGCAAACCATCAGAGCTCCCCTGAGTAAACCTGGCCTCCTCCTACCTCTCCTCCTCTTTTTTCTGTCCTCTCTCTGCTCCATCACCACCTCCCTGAGATCTACACTCTGAAACTCACACCGGTTCTAATGCTGCACCCCACTGTGGCTATGCACTAATGATGTAACACAGGGACACAGAGATTAAAATGCTATCAAGGTGTATTAAAGTCAATACCCCCTGTCACACAGGCTGTGGATTTCCATGGCAGATAGAGGAAACAAAAGTGAAGGCGGAGTTATGTACCACGCTGCTGAGATGACAAGGTGGAGCACACCTTGTAGCAGCAGGGACACCTTGATAACGCTTATCTCTCCCCGCACTGTTGAATGTTGATTTTTCTGGGTATTGGCCTCCACTGAGAAGAAGAGGTTCTATCAGGAGCTAACAGCTAATTACCTTCCAGGAAGCACTTCCATAGTGGCTATTAACAAGGCAATCTGAGCTTAAGCTTAAACTAACAACGTGCTTTTTTTCCTGCAGTGTGTTTTTGTTTGTCTGTGTGTGTGTGTGTGTGTGTGTGTGTGTTTGTGTTTTAACCCACAAAGCTGCTCTCTTTCAGATCCTGCACTGATCTTAAAGTCTACCACTTCTATAACCTCACACTGATTTATAAAAAAAAAAATTCTTAATACATCATGTGTTTCAGGATCATCTGTATTTTAACATACTAACTCATCAAACTCGTCATCTTTGTTGAATGTGAGTATTAACACTCCATCCTCCACCCTCTCCCCTATCCCTAGTGCTCGCAAGCGGCCGATCCCGTACTACCGGCCCAGTCCGTCCTCGTCCAGCGACGACAGCAGCCCGTCACGGTCCAGCCGCAGCCGCAGCTACAGCAGCTACAGCCGAAGCAGGAGCCACAACAGGAGCCACAACCGGAGCCACAGCCGGAGCAGGAGCTGGAGCCGGAGCCGCAGCCAGAGCCGGAGCTGGAGCCGCAGCAGGAGCCGCTCCTGCAGTCACCACAGCTACTACAGCCGCAGCAGCTACGACAGCCCTGGCTTCTGAACACTCTGTGCAGGGGGGAAACTAAAAGTCCTGTGACAGTGACTGTGCTCCGGTTCAGTTATCATGTATCTTTAATAAGCCCTCAGCGGTGCCCGCGCAGGCCACTCAGTCCAGGGCTCAGACTCAGACTCCACGACCATTCTCCCTCTCTAACGCAGAGCCCGGATCAAAGAGGAGAGGTGTATTTTGATAGAGCACATATTTGTGTGTCACTGCTCACACCTTCACACACATGTATCCAAGCTATTCAAGGAAATGTGTTATCACATGTTGTACTTTCCTTTAGTGGAGCCCAAAGATCAAACGTGGCTGTATGTTAGCACTTTCTCTTCTACCATAAAACAACCAAAAGGAATTCATGAAGAACTATTTAACATATAAATATACAGTATATATATATAAATATATATATATATCCTAAAAATAGGAGCTGAGTAGAAGACAAAAAGAAAACACATCATTGACTTACTGTACATTTCAGACGTTTTTTCCCTCGTCATGTACTTTTCTCCCTAGACTTCCATTTCAGCGAAGCACAGAGATCAACAGACGTGAGAACAAAAGCAGTTGAATTAGGAAGCAAAAAGAAAAAGGGACTTTTTTATGATGGAAATTCTACTGTATAGGTTTGTCTGTATAGAAATAAGTTCTGGCTTTGTAAACTATGCACTGTATATTCCATATAGTTCGAGGACATTTGTTCAGCATGATGCATCAGGAGAGACTCGCTGCTCGTAAGAGGGAAACTTAGCAAGTGAGAAAGATGCCGTCGTGCGTCTGTGCTCCCCCCCTGACCTCGACATCATGTCACATACAGAGGTCGATGAGAAAAAACAATGTGTATTATGTAGTTCTTCTCTTTTCCCTGTTTAAATTATTATGTTCTGCTAATCCTGTATGTGTGGGTTTGTGTGTGTGGGTCCACTGTAGCCTGTATCTAAGGCTGCTGTACGGTACTGTACAGGAAAACTGTCTGCAAAAACTCTCCATGCACACATTTGCGTTGACCACGGCTATTTATGAATCGACTGTATTTATTTTTATTGGGTTATTTATTTATTATTTAACTTATTTATTTATTTAGCGGTGAGCTGTAAAGCAGCTGAGTTTGCTTCAGATGTGTTTTTTTACACGAGCGGCGAGCAGCTCGTAGGTTCCTTTATGATGCTCGGATTTTAGCCAGTGGAACCTGGTCCTCACTCGCCGTTACTGCCATCACCAGGCGTCCCTCATCTGTCGTCATTTTAATGCAAGTCATGGCGGCTCTTCCTGTAGTTAGAGGCGAGGGACCGGCCTGAAGCAGAACCAAACATCTCCCTGTGTGGAGAGGGCACTCCACTCTTCTTCTCCACCACACGCTCTTATCCCTTGTATGATGGGCCACGCCATTTTTTTTTAAAGGTCCCCTGGTTACCAGCTTGAAAAGGAGGATATGTACAGTATATAACTTTAGCATAGCAGAGACCTCCTCTGTCTGCAGCTTCAGTAGTGCGGTAAACAAAGTGGTGGAACAATCAGGGATCACCCTAAGTCTTCCTAACCATTCGTCCAGTGTCATGCCACTCAACCCAGTGTTGCATTCCCAGGATGACTGAACCCGACTATAATACTCTGCAAACCTGTTTGTTTATTCAATATAGCATCCCCCCCTTGGTTCTACACACCATTCTTTGTAATGTACAAGTTATTATACCTGACAATAAACAGAAACTAATGGAGTATTCTTTGTATTCTTTTCCTCTCTGACTTCAGGGGATGCTCCAGTGCATGCTGTGTATTTACCTACAGATGGCGCTGATGAGAATCTTCCAGTGCCTGAAAATGAAAATGATGGTTCTCTATAGGAGCATGTGCAGATTTCATTTCATTATTTATTGAATATGACTTAAGACCATGATCACTGGGTATGGAACAGAACATATGAAAACAAATCAATGGGACAACACATGGCTGAACAAATGTTACTGAGAGTAGGAAGGACGTTCTTCAAAAAAGTGTACAATTAACTTTCAGCTTGTCTATAATTTACTTTCAGCTTGTCTGATTGTAATGATATAATTATTTTAACAATAAGTGGCTGAAATGCAGATACTTCTCTCTTTAAACAATACATTCTTACATTCAAATAAAATATGATATTCCTCTCCCTGTTTGTCAATACAAAGGTTGCAGACCCACTACATCTTCCAATGACCTTCAGGAGTCTGGTGTTATTTACCTCTACTTTTGTTTCACGCAACAAATACTCCAGTTAGATTTCTTGTTTGAATTCTGAATAGACATCACATGAAGACATCAACACCACATACATCTGTTGTGATATCCTGTAACTCCGAATGAGATACATTTAGTAAAAACTGAGCTAAATCTTCCTTTAATTCTTCAATTTGATTACAAGAGTCTCCTTATCGGCCTCTTTTTTCTTTGTCCGGTCAGTTTTCATGAGCTCCCTCCCCTCAGTGTGGAGAGACGTGCACACATCTGTAACACCTGGAGCTTTGTGAAGAACACACGCACACACACAGAGTCGCATCTCCATGACTTCACACACACTATTATATAAACATCTTGAAATATGTACAACGATAACTTATTAATGATAATGATGAATGATATTAAATGCATTAACAATGTGTAACTTTAAAATTCAAAAATATATTTTTTTCAAATGTAATGCATAGAATAATTCATGGTTCAATGTGATACAAGCAGTATTACACACACTAACTTAAAATCAATTTAATATAATCATCGCAGTGCCCAAGGATTGTTTGCCTGGTGGCATCAGCTCCTTCTCGTGGGGGTGTAATGATCTCTCAGGAAATCTGATGTGATAAGTCAGGTTATGTTTAAATCTGGGTTTGTCTCTTAGTTAGCTGGATTTAAGAATTGGACAGAAAACCATGAAACCAGGTGTGAACATGGGTCATGGAAGAAGTTAATAAATGTAGGTGTCGATCCAGGATTTTGTGTGATGATGGTTCTGTCCCTGCAATCTCTTGATTTGTTATTGGATGTTTTGAAAGACTCTGTGGGTGTGGACTTGTGTATTACTTTGTGTTTTTGTATTTGTACTGTGTTCCATTATTTCTTCCTCTTCCTTGTGTTTCACTGTCTCAGTTTAGTCACTTTCTTGTGATCCCTGATGTTGTCTCACTTCCTGTTTTATTTTTTACCTTCACTTCCTGTTTCTCCCGTGTCTCATTATTGGTCCCTTCACTTCCTCTTGTGTTTCCCTCCCTTGTGACTGTCCTGATGTGTCTCACCTGTGTTCATCCTGCTGCCTGCCATGTGTATTTAGTGTCTCTGTTTCCTTATCTTCACTTTGTTTGTTCGGCCATTCGACGTCTCCTCTGCTGTTCCTCACCTGAGCTCAGATTTTGGTGGTCCTGACTCTACGGCCTGCCTGGACGTTACAGTAAGTCACATGAAAGTGTTTGTTCAAGTCCTCCTCTCATCTGCATTTGAGTCCTCACCTGATTCAAATGGAACAGTGAGAGTGGGGTTTTCAACATTTTCCTTGAAAGTTGATTTCACCCATTCAGAATAAATTCTTATTGATATGTTTTCGCTATGTTTTAAATTTTCCTACAAAGTCATGACTATATCGTCTTCCTGATTCTTTACAATTACCTCCACCAAGTAGGTTATCTTTTCATCTTTTTGTTAATTAGCAGGTTTATGCAAAAACTACTAGACAGATGATGAGGTGTTGTGGATCAGTAAAGAATCCGTAAAATGTTTGTTGTGGATCCAGGCATTGCTTTTCACTTTCCTTAACATTGTGAGACATTTGTGTTTTTCAACATTGTAATGGAAACAATTTGAAATGTTTAGGGGACTGAGTGTGCAGATCAGGAAAAAAATGCCAGGTTGTGGGAATTAAATCTGGTTTCCTAAGGGAACTGTTGGGCCTTAGCAGAGGTATGTGGCTGTAATAGATGTCCCACCAACCCCGCCCCCTATCATGTGGCATCACATCTTTTGCGAGACCATCCCAGGACGAGCAGACTGCGTGCGAAATTGAGGCACAAAGGGAGGACGTTGATTAAATGTTTTGCCAAGGTCTATAGGGATGATGGGGCAAGAACCATCCTTACATTCCCTACGTTACAGCTCGCTGATTCACTGTTTATTTGATAATAGTCTCCCCCAAAAAAGTTGATGATCTCCCTGTGTCTGAGGCGCAAGGATACACCATCATCTTTGCACCGCCTGATTTTGAGTGTGTTGCATGTGGTCTGTTTATAGGGTGGTTAAATGGTCTGTGTGATTTAATAAACTGTAGGTTTGACCAACTAGAGGACTGAAAAATATCTGCATTAGAGACAAGCAACAAAGTTCTGCAGCCTATCATAGACATATAATAAGATGATGAAGCAGTGGAGTAAAAAACAATAATTAATCCTTGCTGATGATGATGTGGAGCAAATAGCAAAATGATTTGCTGCAGCTAGAGAGGATGTCAGAGCAAGTATCTGTGTGTGTGACTCAACTGCTGTTAATTGTGGTAACCAGATGGAGGCGGCGGAGGGCAAGGGTGGTGTTGTTGGCAATTGCAGCTCAGCCGGAGCGTGTGCCTCTGCAGGTGACCCTCCTATTCGTGGGGGAGCAGCGTGTGATGCCTCTAAAATTAATGTTGGATGTGACAAACACAGTGCCGGAAATTCTGTAGGGGAAGTCGGTTTATCCTCTACTGTCAGCATCGATAAAATACAAATAAGATAATCCAGGGTCTGGAGTGATTGGAAGGGTGTTAGAAGATGCACTGCCTGGTAGTTTAAATGTGGTGTTGAGAGGTCCTTCCCAAGCCAGCCATCTCCAAGCTAGTTTAAATGAAGACAATGAATATAATATGTATTTGATCACAGAAGAAATTGTTACAGAGGAACAAAGCGTCCATGTTGGATGATGAGTTGGAATTATTAGTCACTGTAGCACCTAACAGACACAGCGGTGGTACATGCCTCGGACTGGGGAACATTATGATGAGATTTTATAGCACAATCAACAATCCCTCTCTGTCTTGAATATCTTAATATGAAAAAATGGAATATGGCAAACAGTTGGACACAGTGCTGGGTTTTGAACACATGGACAAATCCCCAAATTCGAGAAACACCTCAATGTAAAAATCCTACTCTCTCACCATATCTCCGGGTGTAAGCACCTGCTGTGTTTCCGAACGCACCACATCAACACACAATATGGCTCTACCTGCATAACCATCACTAGAATTGGATTGAAAATCAGATGGGTTTTTTCTGGGGCGTCGTGTCTGTCAATATCGCTCTGACAATTATGAATCTCTGCTACACCACAACAGTGATGCAGAATTTGTTTCACAGCTTGTCACCCTGGCAAGAGTATAAAACAACACAAGCTGCAAGATGTCGGGCGGTGATGCACCATGTCAGACACTACAATACTGTGTGGTGAAATCTACACTGCCGGAAAAAAGCAGCAATGATTTTGAGGTGAGCAAAGGAAGGAGGGCAATGTGGCACAGGAGGGTTTTATTCAGCTGATTGAAAAGGACAACCTCCAGAATAAATGTATGTACTTTGATTTTACGACTCGGTATTACCATGGACAGCATGAGGCAAATTTTGTGTGTGCAATAGATGCTGCAAGTTTTTGGAGAAATGCTGTAAACAGCCAAAATAATGTGGCTACACAGTCATTGCTCATAATGCATCTGGCTTTGACAATTACGTCCTGTTGGTACTTTTTGAAACACGAGATAACGCCCCAAGTGACAAGGAGACGTAGCAGGGTCATTTTCATGTATGACAATTCATACTGACAGTGATGGATGGATTCATTCAGTTTTCTACCCATGAGTCCATAAAAAACTGCTGCTGCTTAAGGGTTTGAGGAGATGAAGAAAGGATATATTCACTCTAGATTCAGTTTAGTCTGATGAGTGGTCCTTTAAACTGCAGAACGACATTGTCGTCAAGTGTTATTTAAAAGCATTGACAGTTATTTCACAATTGATTGAATATATTGATATTGTATATTTTTACTTGTGCTGGCAGCCTTTATATGATGACCTCTTTAGTTAGTACAAAAATTAAAATGTACTCATTATCTACTCACCACTATGCCGATGGAGGGGTGGGGGAAGTGTTTGAGTCCAAAAACAAGCTTTGCAGCCAAATAAAATTGAAGTAACCTGGTGACCAATTGTTTAAACATACGAAAACAACCGAACATCATCTATTCAATGCAGATTTTTTCATATTCATTCCATTGGTTTTTCAGACTTTCTGCCATGCCACATTTTGAAAGCCAAAGAAACTCTTCTCTTGAACTTTATCTTGAAAAAAGTTATAACTCTAGTGAACTTTAAAGAGGTTTCAGAAGGGGACTGTTGGGCCTTAGCCGAGGCTCTCTGTTTTTCATTAAATAGCCTTATTTTATTGGCAGTGTGACAATAAAAATACAGAATCATATGATACAATCAACCACTCCCTTTATGATCCCTACTCCCTCCCACCTTCTCAACCCACCATTCCCTGCATGACGGCACATGCTGTAAGTAAAATAATTACAGTGGAGAAAATGCACAAATAAACATGTTACAAAAGAAAATTATTTTAATCTATATGCTTGCACATGTAGATTAGCAATACTGAAGTATACATGTAAACAAAACAGAAAAAAATAAACTTTGGGAGAGGATTGCAGGAGCATGTCAGTGTTAGCAAACATCATCAGTTAAGTATCCACAAAGCTA